CTAGCTGCTTTAAAGGCAACAAATAGATTTATTGCATGCAGGTCTCTAATTACTGGGTCTTGAAAGCTAACCTTATTACAGGGGCTCAGACCCTTGTATAATGTCACCTAAAAGTAGGACAGAGAAACATATAAGAACGTTCGCCTCAATACTCGGGGGACATATACTGCTAGACGCATAACCTGTTGGTGCTTATAATTTGTGTAAAATGCACATGCTATTTATTTAAACCCTGTGTTTATTTAGGATAACTTTTGTTAGCAAAATTATTTTGCTTTGATGTCGTGCAACTACGCGTAAGATCTGGTCCCTGACGTACTTCATGTTGAAGGACATAAAATGTTATTGTGGCTCTTTTCACAGGGGTTACACTGTTAAGCTGTAACCTTTATTTTCTTGTTATATTCTGCCCCCAACATACCTCCCCTGAGCTGTTAAACCTCCCTGTAACTATAATTGCCATAAACAGGGGGCACCTGACACAAGACGTTTCTGCAGATGGTCAATGGTCAAACTAAACATGCCTTTAGAATGATAAAAAGAATTTGTGTTTGAATGATCTAAGTTTGCAGTGTGGTAGTTCAGATTGAACCTGTTTTATACAAGGAAAAGCAGGCTTAAAAAGAACAATGTTAAAGACAAAAAAAAACCAGAATGCATCCAATGCCAGAGGGCTAGTTTTTATTCATCACTTGCTCAGTTTTTCAGGAGATAAAGAGGAGTCAGGATCCAGGCAAATAAAGAGGGATGTGAGCAAAAAGTGTACAGTCCTACACAAGAGCTATATTTAAAGCATTTGAGTGGGATGAACATTGTCGCCTCTAGTAATGCATTTGTAGATTCTGTGTTCCAGAAGCAAACTTCAATAGCATTCGCAATCAATACCATAAAAGAGTAGTTACGTGAATGGGGGCATTGCAGTAGCAGGAGGAGAAAAGCGCTCGGAAGGGAGGTTTTGCAGCAACTTGAGCCGCGTGCTCGAGCCAGCTCCCTGTGACTTGGCAGGGGCTTCTGCGAGGCTGAGAAAATGCACCCGCAGGGCAGCACGTGACCAGGAGAACTCTGAGCCACTAGACCCAAACACAACGACCTCCGTGAAACCCCTGGGGAGCCACCAGGAACACACCACAGGAAGGCTAAGGATTGGAGGAGGTCACGTTCCTGTACACACAGGACAGATAACATTTTGTTATTTATAAACCTGTAGGTTTTTTTTACAAGGGGTTGCATTGTATCAGCCACTAAACAATATGAAGGGCTAGTCTGGATTTCCGTGAACACCGCGGCCTGGTAGGCGTCTGAAAGATCAAGTCAATCCCAAGAGGCATGAGACGTGGGTTCCCAGACGTGGGAGGTGAATATGTGTAAAGGTGTACATAAAAGGGTCATGAAAGCAAAGCACAGTACACTGTGTGCACTGCTATTAACCTGCTTGCATCAAACAGCACCAAGGAGTACTTAGAAAATATATGTGCACAAGTGGGTGTTTTTGAGACACAACCTCTCCATTTGTGTAGAAATTTAAGAATGGCAGGTTAGGTTTCCAAGACGTTTCAGCAAAAAGAGAATGTAAAGATTTTTTTTTCAATTCTTTCCCATTCTTCATGTATTTGACACTGGTTGTGTTGAATAAGTTGAATAAGCTGAATAAGTTTATACTAAGCAGGTGTACTGGAACCAATAAGACATTACATTTGTGAACACAATTTACCACTATATTGCCTGTCCCCGGTAGAGCAATATGGAAGCCTAAGCCATGTATTGAAAGACTGTTTTAAAAATGTCTTCTTCTAAACTGCTGCACTGACTGAATTCAGGCTCGGCAGATTTCATCAATAGCCAAAGCTTTTGCTTCAACATAAACCACTTTGAGAAATGTGTCGTACTGCTATTGCTATAGCTTAAAGACCGTTAAGCCAGTATACTCCGAAATTTCAACATCTAAATTTAATGACAACAGGATGACTGTATGTGAAAGTGTCATTTCTCCATCTGTCTCCTGACATTGATTTCTTTTCCTTCATTGTTGGAATGCTGTCCGTGACTCCCACTGTTTCAAAACATTTGTCTGACTCCACGCATGTAAAGTTTCGTTCTAGAGAGCATATCCCTGACGTCTTTGTTCACTCTAGTTCCTGCATGCACCGGAAAGTGCTCGTAACTTTCGTTTTCTTCTCACAACTTGTAAACTGCCTCTGTCCCTGGAACACCAAGTGAACCAGATCTTGGCAGATCTCGTGAACAACCAGAGCTGCTTCTGAGTTGCACCTCACAAATTGCTGTGATAATTTGCCTGCTCACTGCAGGACATCGGTTACCAGGTGCGATGTGGCCTCATATCCAAACTGCTCCTGTTTCAAAGAGTGTTTGGCTCTTGAACCAAGCACACAATCTTTTGGAACAAGCAGTGTAGGAGCCACATGTACCATTTTTCACACTGCAGGTCTGACAGTACCCACAGGAGAGTTAACAGCGATACAGCTGCCACTGATTTTACTGCAGGCTCGCAGGCCTGCCGTTTGCTTGGCGAGGTGAAAGCTCTCGGACCAAATAAAGCCTGCTTTGCTGATCATAGCTGGCTAATATGAAATACTGAAACAATGCTGCTTTACCATAAAATAATGTGCATTGTATTTAGTTCACCCATGTTTAATTTTAGATGGAGGGATAAACCTCTTCACCCCTGTTGTGTGAAGTACATTTTTAAATAGCAGAATGATGTTGGATTGAAACAGTGTGCAGGTAAATATGGACTCATGATGCAGGATACCTATATTTTTTCAGCATAAATAACTATATTAAATGCCACTGAAGGGCTCTTCAACTCCACTGTAAAGAGTGTCCTTTCCATATGAATAGAGCTATACATTTGTAGGAAGCTGACCTTGATGAGAAGCAATGTATTCTGTTGAGTATTTAACCCACTTCCTCTCATCTCTGTTGGACCAGATTGCATGCCAGTGGAAAGAAGTAGGTTACATTGTAGCGTGAGCACTTAGTCATGCGATGTTTTGGATTATGATAGAGGAAGCTGTGTTGTTCAAAAACAAAATAGCTTGTTTCATTCCCTGCATGATTGTCAGGCTTTTGTTTACCAATATTTATTTGCAGATTTAACATGCTGGATATGTCGTATAGTCCTACAGACTGTATTCAGACGGGGTGCGTCTGAACTATAGGGTGACACCAGTGATTTGCTGCCCCCATACAAAAAGGTATACTGTTGATTCACAGTTAGGCAATAACTCAGTTCGTTTTAAATAATGCACATATGGTTATGTAAAAACAAAAACAAATGTGTTTGCTCTTGATTGATTAAGCTGGGGGCACTACAGGCATCCACTAGAATAAATCGATACCATGAATTCATAAATGTAGCCAAGTGAATTCTCCCAGTTGCACTGTTTAATGCAAGTAGCTGAGCACTGAAAACATATTTAGTTGGTGAATGGACAAAACGTGCCACATATAAAACTGAGCTTGGCATTGCTGGCCTCGGGTGCTGGGAAGGAGATTGTGTAGACTTAGCAACATAAAATATTTTACAGTACATGGTATACTGCACTGCAAATGTATAGTGACAGTGATGTGCAGTCTTCTTGTACAGAGGTACATTTCATTTAAAAAACACTGACATCAACAAAAGTTGTGGCCTTTTTAAGTATGAAAAAAAAACTATTCTGGAGGATTTTCAAATGTTGAAAATATTAACGGCCGTATCTGTATTTGAGGTCAGACCGCACGTTTTCATGCTGGCAGGGAGTCGAGGTTATCAGACTAATAGCGCTGAGCAAACAGGCTATTTATCTGGAGGACAGAGGAAGTCTTGAGCCTGGAACACGAATGGTGGGGTCTGCAGCTGCAGCAGCAGATCAGCAGAGCAGGCCTGGGCTTGCAGCAGCACTTGATCAAAGTCCTGATTCGGAGAGAGGCTAGCTGTGTGGTGAAGGCATTTCCAAAGCCAGTCATGGGAGACTCCAGCAAAAGGAGAAGCTCCGCTCATTTGTCAAGCCTACACAACAGTACAGTGGCAGAGAGGATAAGAACTGTTTCTCCCGATTTCAAAACAAAACCATGTCCTCATTTGAAATCCAGCCCGATAAGGCTTGTAATAATAATTTTGCACACACACATCATGAAAGCAATTCCCATGCAAAAGCACTTCTCAGTAAGAAAGCGATGAAAGAAAAATCTGATAAAGATACTTGTAAATGTCATGTATCCATTATGCTTTTTTAGACAGCGGTGTACTTGCTGTAACTGTGCAGGAACTCCGAAGCCTGCACAAAAAGAAAACATTCAAAGGGCACACTTTGAAACATATGCAGAACGGGATTTCCTTTGCCTGCTCTGAAAATATTTACCAGCCTGGTAAAAAAACACATGTCTCGTCACTGTAGGGATTTTGACCTATGTGGCGTTTAGAAAAAACTGCCTATTCCTCCTGCCTTTCCTCCTTTTGGCGAGAAGATGTAAGTGCAAGAAATTAAATACCAAAATGCATAATATAATCCAATCAATAAAATTTAAACCTTAATGCCAGAGAAGTGAAATCAATTGCTGTGAACATGTACTAATCACAGTACATTATAACCAGGTAGGAGGTGGTTTTCATCACAAAGGATCCCAAACACTTTATGAACAGTATATAAGAGCATCCACATCATACCCCGTCAAAGTGCAGGACACACTTGGGTGATGCTCAGTAGCCATTAATTAAGGCTTAGCAAGCATGACAATATCAGCAGGTTGCTAGCAGATAGGCCTTCCAGCTATATTCAGAGTAATATACCAGGGCCTACGTCACCTGAACGCTAACAAATCGCTTATGTCTTTTATCCATATTGAGACCTTCTTCCCTTATGGTGCTTGTATTTGTGGCTAAGAACGTATTTGCCTTCAGCTGGACACAACCAAATCTGGTGGTAATAACTCTGTCTGACAAAGCTTCCTTGCAAAGCAGCTTGCATTCATTTCCTTGTTCTGTTTTCCACTTGCAGACGAGCACATCTTCGGCTGTGTTTGGAACGTTTGAAGGCACTTATACCACTGGGACCAGACTGCAACCGGCACACAACACTGGGGTTGCTGAACAAAGCCAAAGCACATATTAAGGTATTTTCAAAAACTACCGTAGCTCATATTGTGAGATTAAAAAAAAACCTGTTTCAAATTAGTTAAGGAAAATGTGGGAGATTTAAAAGGCCACACAAGACTACACTGCTTCTAACCTGGAATTCACATTGAAATGCCTGCTGTAAGTTAATTGTTCAACATCTTGATTATACCAAGCGGAGCACGATGTGGTAGGCCTACAGTATGTTGTTAGGAGATCAAAGGCAGATGTTCTGTCAACAGCTGACAAAGTGATTGCTGGGTACACTGTTGTAATAGAAACTTGGAGCTCATCTCATCCTGTGACCCTTGAGAGTTTGTGACATCATCAGAAATTGATTGTGTTACAGTGTTGTAGGTCACTGTGCACTTCTTACTTTACCTGCTGGCTAGATGCGATGCAAAGACCTTATCGCACTGTAGATCCAGGCAAAAAGATAGTATCAGAGTCCATTATAGATTTTATGTTTACACTCCATTCAATGACAATTTTTTTTAGTATTGGCTTCCTCAGAAACTCAGATACACCTTCACTATCATGGCAATTTGGATGTAAATTGGTCTGGTTTCTGTATCTTATTTATGCTCAAGTGGAAAGGTTTGTAGATCTGGTTTTGCAAAAATTGCGTCTGCAAAACAATGTCAGGAATCATTCTTAGACCTGAACTCCATTGCTCCTGTATGTATTTACAGCTAAATATGATCTCATTGAATTTAGAAATTCTAAAACAGGGTTGGAACTTGGCCAACACCATAATCTTGGCTTTGGCTTTCAAAGTTCTGCCTTTTGCACTTCAAAGTGCATGCCTGCAGCTTCAAAGGTGCAGATCAGCAGGTGTTAATATCTGTGAGCATCGGTACGAACAGGAAACGAAAGATAAAGGTTAATCAAACACAAAGGAGGAACAAAAAAACTAAATCTAATTTTCAGTGTTATATACAGTTAACACATCCACAGCATTCTAAAGATTGAACTTTTCTTTTAAAACAAAAATGCCCATGGTGTTTGCAGCCAAGGTTAATTCCCTGAATGCCCTAGCGAAATAATAAGTCTCAATCCAATTATACATGAACAGAGTGAAAAATCAGCTCTCAGCTGTCACCCTTATCACCTATGGAACTCATGTTCCTGTCATGACGGGTCCTGTGAATTCTAAGATTTTTTTTGCTCTGCCAACCCTATGCCCCCCCCAAAAAAGCTACAAACTTGTTAACAATTCGTACAGTGTTGCGTGTAGTGCAACACGCAGTATGCAGTGTAACTGTAATGCAATCTTGGGTATTGTACCTGTATGGCGGGTCCCAAGCTTTCTAAGACATATTCCCATTTTCAAATGTATCAAACCTGCAAAATATGGTCTAAATTAAGCAACGGGAATCGCCATCCTAAGCAAGTTGCGGCTTGTTGTAACATGTGTTTTGTAGAACATTGGGATTACAATAGCAGCAATGGTGTCCTTAAACCAATGAGATGCAGGGGCCAATAGCAGGCACTCATCTTCATCATCAGCCTCTCTACAAGGGCTAAAGCACTTGCCCTGCTAGTGCTACATCAGGAAGTGAACTAGTAGTGCAGGTGTTAAAATTCCTGGCAAAGGTAGTGTATGAAAAAGCATGGGGAGACGGATCTAATCCTCTGAGGAGCAGCCCAAAGATTCGGCTTTGGGGCCATAAATCCCAGCCCATGTTCCAGAATGCAGCTCAAGATGGCATTTTGCTTGACAGACAGAGGTTGTTAATAAACTTTAAAAAAAATTGAGCACAATGCATAAAACCTCCCAAAAAATCTGGTTTCAGTCCCTAATCCACTACTCCAAGTGTGCATCTTATACACACAAATAAAAGTCCAAAGGTGTAGCATAAAATGGTCTGATGGTATTTGAGCACGAACTTTGGGAAACATTAGTGGTTCAGATCATAACATTTATGTCTGTGGTTAAAAGGCCTGCATGTTCTTAATTTTGGATTGTCTCAAATACAAGATAGGTGGACTGTCAGAAGATTCAGCTGGCCTCTATTTGTGAACTGTACACTATATTGTAAGTTTACATTTTATTTTTCAAAGTTCTAGATATTATATAAGGTGAAGTCGCAAAATGTGTTTTTATGTTGGCACGTAGTTTCTGGCTGTAAATACAGAGCATCTGTGTTGATCAGAATGTTCAGTTCAGTCACTGCATCTGTGCTTCTGTTTTGTATTTATAGTATGTGAAGTTTAATTTATCCATCATCTGGTGGTTTTGGTATTTTTTTAATTTAGTGTTAAAATAACAGTCACAATATTTAGAACCCTGGTCATGCACTGTCTGCCCAGCCAAATACCACACCCCTCCCCCCCCAGCCTCCTTTGCCTGGCATGCCAACTTGTGAAAGTGGCTTTTGGCCCTCTGCCCAAAGATGATGGTGACCCTTATTCTGTAATTTAACCCTGAATGAAATAAAAACACCTCTGAAAAGCTTGACGTATGTTACACAAAGTATGGGATTAACAGTTCTCAAAAATGAATAAAACTGCAGCATTGAGATGCTTGTTTACTGTGGAATAAGAACATTTGCCTCCTTGAGCCTCCTTAGAAATGGTAAAGACTTCTGGTTTGTTGTTAGCCAACTCCTTAGAATCTTAGGAATATGTGTTAATTATTGCTGATTTGTCAGCTGGTGACACTGATGAAAAACGACTTGAATCGGTTTATTTTTAATTTACCGACTGTGTATGAACAGGCATTGTTCATTTTTATCACTAGTGCAATGATATAAAAGTAATATAGGTGTATATCAAAGACAGGATTCTATACATTTCATACATACATATATATATATTCCAATTCTCTTGTGTGAAGTGGTGGTTCAGAATTCAGAGAACTAAGCACAGAGTGAAATTGAGGAAATCACAAATATGCACACTGCTTTTGTTTAGACGTGCTTTTGCTTTCACTGTTCATTAGCACAGGCAGCGTTAGGAGGAACATTTTTGAAACAATGCCACTAATAAAAGCAAGAAATGAATGTAAGATTTGCAGGCTGTGTCCCAATCCCCCAATAAGTCTGAAAGATTGCCGATGTGGCGCATTAACTCTGATCAACCCCCAATTCTCCATTCTCTTTAGACACACGCCATGCATTTTTATAACAGACCTCAGTTTTAACTTTCTTTTGTCTGAATTTTAGCAAAAAAACCTCTGCCCTGTTCAATTATTGTCTTAATTGCTTTTCTAAAACTAGCTGTCAGACTGACATAGCATTATAAATGATGGTGTATGCTTTTACAATCAATGGTGAATGATTTGTTTTCAATTCAGATGACAAAAATGACATGGCAGCCATGTTCTGTGCAGTGGATTTTATTACAGAAGTACATTGCATCATCGCAAGTGTGATTATAAGGATTTTTGTTTAAGTTATATTTTCCTTCCAAATTTTCATACTGGCCTAGTCAAGCACGATTTAGCTAATCAGCTGCAACCCTGGCAAAATAATCTTTTTAAAAAGCATTGCACCAGCTGATTGATTCTTGGTGGATGTCATCAATGCCAAAGCTACTAGACAATGAACGTAGATTTATAGGAGACTGAGCCTACATCTAGACTTCTTGATATGTGGTGCTGTACTACACATAGTCACAACAAACTTTTTTATTCCTTTCTTAGTAGAGATTATCTCATGATCTCTAGTTTTATGTTTATTTAATATTCTGTACTCCGCTGTTAAGAAACCTTTTGTGAGGTGGCCTGACCACCATTTTATATTCAAACATCTTATGATCAAACACTGAAACCAATCAAGTTTAAAATTTTCAGGTATGATCCTAGGAAATCGCTATTTAACATGTGACAAAAATACTGGTTCATTAACCAAAATGGTGTCATTGAAAATCATCTGTCTTCCAACCAGTTAATGGATCGTTTTAAAACATCACCGGTGTAAACAAAATATCCATGTCTCTTACCTCTTGGCTTCACATAAATTACTGGGATGATCCATCCATCCATTTCCTAATGGCCTCATCCAATTCAGGGTTGTGGGAAGCCATCCCACCAAGGCAGGATAGGCCAGTCTGTCGCAGGGCCCATACAAACACATAGACATGCACAAACTCACACCAGGGCAAGTTTTCCCAGAAGCCAGTTAAGTTACCAGTTTGTCTTTGGACTGGGAAAGGAAAGTGGAGCACCCAGAAGTCACCCTTGTGACCATGGGGAAAACATACAAACTCCACCCAGGCCGCACCCCAGGTCCAAAAGTGAACCCAGGGCCCAGCACTGCCAACTCTGCACCCCTTTGCCACCCTACAGGGATAATTTTCATCTTTTCGAAACCCATGGAGTCAGTTAAAACTAAACTTGGTGTTTCCATGTGGTTAAATGCTGCGTTTAAAATCTGGTAAAATTATATTTCCCCATACCAACCAAGATAGACATGTAGCTGCCAACTTTTTCTGAAATTTCAATTTTTTTTAAAATGTTTTACTTTTTTTCAAAAATGGACTATGTGGTTGTAACATTCTGGTGAGTATAGTCCTGGGAACAATGCAGATATGCTAAAATAGTGTTATAAATAGGGAGTTCCAAATACCAGATAATGACTGAGTGGAATAATCAATAAGTAAAATAAATAATAATAATATAATAAACTTTATTTTATATAGCGCCTTTAAAGGTGGCTTCTCAAAGCGCTTTACAGGATGACAATAACAATAAATAAGAAGATTTCACAAGATAAGACACAATTACAATTACAGCAATACAACAATAACAATAGAGGAGACCGTGGAAGGTGGTACTAAGAACCAGTTAAGTAAAGGCTTTTCTGAAGAAGAAGGTTTTGAGTCTGGATTTGAAGGAGTTTAGAGAAGAGTTCCAGAGCTTGGGGGCATAGCAGGAGAAGGCCCTGTCGCCCATACAATGTAGACGGGCTTGGGGGACAGTAAGGAGGGCAGAATTTGAAGAGCGGAGGTTGCGAGGTGGGGAGTAGGGCTATAAAAGTTCAGACAGGTATTGAGGTGCCAAGCCATGTAAAGCCTTATAGGTGAGCATGAGGATTTTAAAGTCTCCTCGGAATTTGACCGGAAGCCAGTGCAAGGACTCCAGGATAGGAGTAATGTGAACACTTGCACTAGACCTGGTCAGGATTCTGGCTGCTGAATTTTGGACATACTGCAGTTTGTTCAGAGTAGATTAAGATACCCCAGGGAGTAGAGCATTGCAGTAGTCAATTCGAGAGAATACAAATATGTTGATCAGCTTTTCAGCCACAGTTAATGATAGCATAGGGCGTAGTCTTGCGATATTTCTAAGATGAAAAAAAGATGTTTTGACAAATAATCATAACCTCCAACTTGTACAGTAAATGATTTTGCCAAGCATATACCTGAGCAGTTGGCATAATTAGAGCCACATTAGTTCTTTGTTCTCTGGCACAGCTTTGGTGAAGTTATCATTCAGACACACTGGTGTAAACTAGCATTCATTAACAATGACAATACACACACTAAACACAAAACATAAACATACAACACACAAGTAACACTATGTACAAAGTTTCTAGCAAGGCAATTTAGGCCTACGTCCTAACCACCCAGAAAAACACTAGACTGTTATCAAGTATTCAGCTCTTATTAATGCCTAAACAGGCCAAAATAAGAGATAAAGCTGCCTTCTAAATCAAACAGAATATGGCCTGTGGTTAAATCTCTCTCTCTGTAAACACAAGTACTTCAAAAGTAATGGGAATCTATCTCCCTATTCCAAGGATAATTCCAAGGATTCCCTTAATCACAAGAAGCAGTTTTTAACCAGAATCCTTTACTCAGGAAATCAGAGTTTCACTTTGGCAAAAGCAAAAATAAAATTAAGTAACACCCACATTGTTATAATAATATTTATAACAACACAAAAGCAATAGTTAAACTTAACAAGGTTCAGATACTCCATTCTGGTCTTTCCAGATGATCAGGACTTCCTGATTCCTTCCTTCCTGTCTCTTTCTCTTTTTCTCTACCTGCCTGTTTCATGCTGTCTTCATGGACTGATTGACACTAAATTAGGGTAAACCAAGTTAATCTTTATGGTTGCTTTGATCACTGAATGTCAGCAATCATCTCCTAGCTTTGAAACTGGAAGTGTTGACACAAACCAGTTGTTACCTATTGTATCAAGATAAAGACTTCATAATAATAGATGTAATGTGTCTTCATCTTTCATTTACCTGTATTACAAATCGCATACCTATTATTTAGTGTGACAGTGTGACATTGATTACTATAAGCACAATTATTTCTTTGAGGCTTTGCTGTCCTGTGTTGGCTATTATTAAACCTAGCAGCAACATTTTAATCCTTTGTTTACCCTTTATCCAAGGCAGCTACGTTACAGTTATTTTTTGTACATGCTTAGATAGACTCTTTGGCTATACTCAAACATGTTTTCTAATTTCTCTGTAGACAATCCTGTGTCTACGTTGTATTCTGAAGTCACGACCAACTTGATTAGAAGTACAAATAAATCAGTTGCCAGTGATCATGCAACTAACTGAAAACTCATAATTTGTATTCATTCTTTCATTGCTATTAAATCTACTCAATAATAACTTTACTACCACATTGCAATACTGCAGGATTAGTATTTGCAGTACTATTTTATGACAATATAACTTTCTTGAAAGCCCTTGAACCTTTGCATTTCTATGTAATAGCCAAGATTAATTTCTGGGTTGAGATGGTAATCTCAGCATTCAGATTATTATACAATTTTGAATGTCACTTAATTTTTTTTTTTAAATGTCAGATTTTTTTTTTATTTTCTACTTTTTCTTTTGGCAAAGTAGAAAATAGAGTAATTATGTAGACAGGTGTGGTGTCTAAAGAAGGCTCCTCGACTGAAACGTTGTTTTTCTTTCTCCTTTTTTCAGCATGAGATAAACCTATTACTTGTTCCTTTGCAGCCTACGCAGCTACCCACCTGAACTACATAGAATAATTCATATTCATTACAAAGCCACTTGCAAACCACACAACATAAACCAGCAATTCAAACAAGAAATATTATTATTTTTAATAATATTATTATAGTAACTGCAGTAATAATGAAAATGTCAGTCCACCTAAAATAAACACTTACCTTGGAATATCAGTTTCAGCAGTGAATTGCTGAAAATCACTTCTGTTGTTTGTTTCAGTCCAACAGAGCTACTGTATGCAACTCTCTTTACTGCTTTGTAAATCAGATGATCACCAAGGCCAGAAATGACATTGTCAGTCTGTATATTCAGAAATCAGTGGAAAGGCTTGAGAAAACAGCCTGGAAAATAATATTTAAAAAAAACATATCTGCAGATTATAATTCTAAAATTTGTCTTACATGCACAAAACCTGAATATGTTGTGGCACCAGCATGTGATACTTCCTTAAAATTGGAGGTTAATGTGAAGGCACTGAAGGTCTGTGTCAACCGCTGACAGAAACTTGAAGAGATCGACCGGAAGAGCCAGTACCAGCGGGAGAACCTGGAGCGGGAGCAGAGGCACTTACAGAGACAGCTGGACCTGCTGCAGGCCGGCGGGGATGCCGAGAGGACACGGATAGACAGCGTGGGCTCCACCCTGTGCTCCGACCGCTCCGATTCGGACCGAGGTGAGACACGGCTTGCTCACCCGTGAGGCCCAACGCAAGAAGGCCTTGACGCGTGTACAAATGCTTGTTTCACGAGCACCGGAAAGATTTACCAGAAACGTTCAGCAGTGAGTTCTCTGTTTCTGTTTCCTAAACTGAGGTTCTCCCTGCATTGTTGTAAATTCAGTCTCTGCACCTAAGGCTGACTGACGCTGTGCTCGTTACAACGCCCTGACTAGGAGTAGAGGCCATAGAAAGTAATAAGTGAACCAATACAAGTGCAGACTTTCATTCCCTGATGAGGGGGGTACAATTTTGGTTGGTTTTGAAGAATTGGAAGCAAGACTGAGTATTTTCTGAACACAGGGGGTTTAATCGTTTACCAAACGCATTACAACGCTTAGTTAAATGCTCCTGAGGGGAGTAGTGCATTGTCAGCACTTTTTAATATCTTGGCTGATTTTCTGATCATGGAATGGCGCTACGCTTTCGTAAACCGTTGCCAAGAGTCTTTCAGTTAGGAAAATACTTTCTGGCCCTTCGTAAAAAAAATTTCGCTTTAATGCCAGGTGCAGATCCGGCTTTGTCTGCATGAGGTCTCAATCGTTTTTTTGCTTCTGACAGCCTTTTGTTTTCCGCCCTTTGCAGAGGAGATCGAGGTGGACGTGGAAAGCACAGAGTTCTCCCATGGAGAAATGGACAGTGTGAGCACAACCAGCACCAGCGACCTCGATGACCACAGCAGCCTGCAGAGCATGGCTAGTGATGAGGGCTACTCCAGTTGCAGCATCAAACTTGCCTTCTCCTCTTAAAGTCCGCGGCACACAGAGAGACGTGAGGTGGAGTAGATTATCAGCGCGACAACCCCAAAACCAAACAGAACCTCATGGGGTGTTCAGAACATGACCTACCCTCAGATCTGGCCTGACCTACAAAGGTGTGATCTTGCTTTTTCTGAAAAGGCCGCCCATAGATGCTCAGTAAAAGAACAAGGCTTTGCATACTTATAATTCCTTCTGTACAATTCTAGGCCATTTACATTGTTTATTTACAGATTTTTGAGATTTCGTTCAAGAAGGTCTGAAAAATTAGGTTTTGTTTGGGAAAAAAACAGCTACACTGGATGTCAAGAATGTAGCATCTATGAGACATCAAAAGAAGCGGCAGTTATGTTACCAAATGACAGGCTAAACTGTAATCTCACTGCATGCCACATATGTTCTGTGCAAATGTGGTTCAAAGAATCTAGCACAGAGGTGTGCTTTCAACCCAAGGTGATTATAAAGTCTAGCAGTGACCTTCTGAAAGAGGTCGCTGTATCTCAAATTGCAGTGTTTTCACCCCTATTGCCATTCACATGCACATTAATATATGTGTATGCAGTGAATGTCGAGATGAAGGGCATCAGGGTTTTCTCCGGGGTGATTGCAAGACTTTACAACCATATGGAATTAAAAAACAGATTTACAAGACAATAAATTGTGCACTTTGATAAGCTTCCGAGTCTTCAAAATGGATCAGTTTCCATCATTGCAGTTCCACAATCTTTGCAATGAAAGCTGAAGTTAGGTCAGGTTCTGAACTGGTGCTGAATGATACTCACGCTCTGCTGGAAAAACAAACAGTAAATTGGACAGGAATCTGTGGGAATTATAACTCAACTTGCCATATCAACATTTCTGGCCCATGAGCATTGTTCTTGCTAAGCAGTGCACAACCACAACTCGGACACTGAAATTGGTGCTACATAACACAGGTTAAGTGTAGGTTAAGTGCTACACAACACATACCAACAAAGAAGATTAAATAGCCCATGCAGAATAATGCAGAATCTCTTTTGTTAAGGTAAAAAAGAACCTTAGAAAAGAGCATCCATTAATATGAACCCATGGGTATTCAGTTGGTTCTAATTTTGGAATCTGTTCTGTAGTTTTGTAAAAGCAACTACCACAAGCTACCCTGCACATGCCTGTTTTATAGTAGACTGTAGAGCTACAACTCTTGTACATTTTCCTAACAGATGTCCTTCTTTAAAGTAAATTCTGAGCAATAACATTGTGGTCATTCTGTCTTGACAGTTTTGGCTCCCTGTTTCTCAAGGCACTAATTTTGTGTCTTGACAGCAAAAATGAACTTGCTAGTTTTGTATATAGTTTAATTTAAAAATAAAATAAAAAGTTTAAAAAATTTCGAAAGGAGAAAAAATGACTAGTATCCATGGATAGTAATATTGCCTCTGTTGCTGTTTGTCTTGTGTTTTGTGCATTTTTATATTTTTTAAAGATTTAAATGTTTCAGGAAGGCATTTTCTGTGGCATGGACAGTATTATTTTGTTCATTTTTCTAGCTGCAGAAAGTTCTGGCTTCTTCAGTCTTCAGATGTATTGCAAAAAGAAACAGATTTTATATTGAGCTTAACTTCAAGACACAATGATGACATAAAAATGGTCATTAGAGAATCATTAATTATGGACTTCTGTTAACCTCTGAGTTGGAGTGGCACTGGCTTATTTATTAGATTTTATGAAAACATAAAAGCATTCCTCCAATCAAATCTTGAGCTGTACATTCTCTGTCTGAAAGCGACAGAGTGATATTTGATGTTCCTTACATCTCTCGGCTTGAGGTTTCCCAAACTTGCACTTCAAGGTCTTATTTTCTTCTTTATTTTTTTAATTATTAACCGATGTGTATCCACTAATTTATGAAAGAGACCTCACCAACTATATTTGGTCTAAAACCTTTTTTGCTGTAAAGTTGTACCAGTTATCTTCATCCATCAACACAAGTTTATTTATTGATTTTATTGGGTTGGTTTAGTTCAGGTTTGGTTCTTATTCCTTATTTTTATCAGGGTTGGAAGGGTATTACTAAAAGTTAAAAAAAAATACACATTTGCTCTCTTTGCCAAGTTATGTTTTTCTTTTGTGTTTTTCGTGCAGAGGACACTAGAAACGTTTAATCTCCCTAGCGTGTTTTACATACTGTAGGGGGTATCTTTTTTCTCTGTAACACACTCATCTACTTTAGTTAGAAATCAGCTATATTACCTCTGCATAAAATAGCAGTTCTTGGGTCTGCAAGATTTAATTCAAATAGACCTTAGTCTCCTTATCACACAATAATGCGAAACAACTTTCCTTAGCTCAGCTAAGAGCTACATTATCTTGAATTAAAAACTGCAGATCTCTTTGCTCAAACCTCAGCAAAAGCCTGAGAAGTGTTGTGGCATGACTTAAGTCTAATGGCTTGCCTGACGTGTTTGCAATTCGCAGTTCACAATGTCTAGTGACTGGCTGATGTTGAGGTTATCTTTCATTTTTTATTTCACATTTGAGCGTTTTTAATCCAAAGTTCTCTTGGTAACATAAGCATTGGTGGGAGTATATTCAGATAGGTTTATTCATGCTTGCTGCATCTAAGCTGTTTAACATTGGTTTGCCCGTTTGTCTGCCCAATATCACGGCTTTCTCAGAAGAATATAAATGCCAAATGTGTCTTAACATGTCTGGATGTGTCCCTTCTTGCACGGGTAGATAAATTTTCATTGTTTTCTTGGGGGGGGGTATTTCTATATTTGTTTAAAAAAATGCACTATAAGAAAGACCCAGCCTGAAACTTTCTGATTCCACACCAAAGTGTTTTCTCTGCTTTCTAGAGGCTCTGAAAAACGCCTGTTTTGAGATAACATGTTGCTGTCCCTTAACCTGTCGTTTTGTTTAGATACTGGTAAAGGCAAATAAATTGGCAAGGGAAAATGGGTCAATAAATGTATTCCACCCCTGTGTTAACCTGTGCTGAGCTTGTGGAAGTTTGTCTTAAAACGTGCTCTGATTAAGATGTAAGATGAATGCAATACTCAATAAACACAGTCTGTCAGATATGTAGCTCTTGTTTAAGATGCTATTAAAAAATGTACCGAGCATTTCAAAGGTTCTGAGAAACTTCCTTTGAGGTGCGTGACAATTCTTTTTATTTACAATAAACTTTAAGCTTGGACGTAATGCATTGAATTCAGCCTAATAAATACTGATTGATGATATACTTTGGTCCTAGTCAACTGAGAAAGCTAACCTGGCCATATAAATGTTATCCATTCAGCCACCCTGAAGAAAGAATATTGTTGATTTTTATTGTGGGGGTTTGCTCTGGGGACAATCGCAGCCATCTGATGATGATATAAAGAGTATAGTTTTTACTTTTTGAATAAAAGTGATGTGCAGTATTGGTTTGGACTCTGGCCTCATAACTGGGAAGCTGTGGGTTTATATCACTTGTGAGGCACATCTGTTGTATCCCTGAGCAAGGTACATCCCTCAGTTTGCTTCAGTATAATGTTCAGCTGCATAAATGTTAGATTGCTTGCCAAGAAAATTAATAATTTACATATACATTAAGTTCCTATGTGTTTTTCAAAAAAGTGACATAGGACCCTCATGTTTTTATAAGTAGAAAAAGAAAACATATTTTGGATCTTTTATTGCACAGAGGGTCTGATTCTACAGTTTACAAAGCAGTTGTGATAAAGTTGTGACTTCCATTTTTTAGGCCATCTCTTCAGCTGCTATTCAGACTGGTGAGTGAGCAGTCTGAAACAGCTGTTGGATAAGGAGTCATTTTAGGCCAGTAATGATTTTCTTTTTATTTCCTCTCAAGCCATTTTCTTGCAGAAATCCACAATATTCATCTGCAAGAACCAAACAACAACTGCAGTAAAACGTATATAATATTGGGTTGAGCTGAAGCTTTAGTTAGAAGGAACTTGCAGTGCAAGTCTTGCAGTTCTGCTAAGACTTACGTATAGTTATTGTGAAATCAGACTGTTATTTAATACTTAAAACTGATTATTAAAAAATTAAATGGTATTCCATAGGTCGTCAGGAAAAGTTTAGACAGATCTGGAAGAGGGACAACAAAAAAATAGGCTTCTTTGATTAATGAAGTAAATGTCATTGCTTAGTATTTGTAAGGGAGATTAATGGCACAGAAATTGTTTGCGAGATATACAGTGTAAAGGGAATTTAAAATTGGGGAAAATGTAAAAAGTATTAGGTCATTCCAAAGATTTTGCACCTAAGGTATGCCTGCAGTTCTTCAGAAAATACCCTTGAGAACAATCTTTTGCCTTCTTAAAATTCACCTGATTTTTTTTCAGTTGATAATTCAAATAGAACTTGTTCGTTGTAAATTGTAGTCTGAAATCCAAAAATAAAATCAAAATGGCAATTGTCAGTCCAAATTTATAAATTGATGGTTTGCATTGGACCGGTAATCTTATGTTTTGGAAATTGCAAATTCTGCTGATTTAACATTAGCAGAAGAGGTATCCTTAAAAAGATGCTACCAAACCTGATACACAGAGGCTAAAAAGAGAATTCTGTGAAAGGTAGGTTATTTCCAATCCCAAGCATTTGTTATACGTTATGAAAAAGATATAAAAAATATTAAACAAAAAGTGAACACAGGTAGAAATGGCCAGGAATCTAAATCATTAGTATTTTTGTGAGAATGCAATCGAAATCTATAAGTAATTCTGGATATTATTGAACTCTTCTGCCTTGTAATTTCGTTTGGTTTGATTAAAAATAGAAATAACACTGCTTTAAGGTAGGTGTAATATGATTTAAAAAAAACGAACAAGTGTGAGCTGGAAAAGGCTACAATATATTGTGTTTATACTTGATTTAAATATCCCATGGAATAAGCTATCTGCAAAAATGCTTGTGTTGCTCTGGGGAGCTGAATATGCAAATAATGCAAGCAACATCCTGACCAAAATAAAAAACACCAGCTTATGAATGCTGTGCATTCACTCACACTGCTTTTCTGAGAAATGCCATCTGCAGCAGGAACTGTCAAATGTTCTCTTTACATGTAAATATGTGTATGCACACTATAAATACGTCACTCGGAACAGTTTTAAAATGCCTGATATAGGACAATTTTGTGTGGTGTACTACTCAGTCTTTTTTGGTCAATGGAGCAATAAAGTAGCTGCCACGTGGCCCCTGAGCCCTCTGTGTTCTGTTAAATGAGGTACCAGACTGATTTCAAAATCTTTTATAATGATAAATCAGGTAAATAGAATGCTGCCACCTAGAGCTGGAGAGATGAATGACAATTTCTTTTATTCTTCATTTCAAAAAATCATTACAGTTCAATATGCAATTTTAGTAATATTGTGCAAACTTTTCAGGTTTAACTTCAAATTTGTGTGTAAACAATGTCAGAAATAAAGCTCAAAGTATCTATTAAAATAGTAATTTGTTCAATTCTTTTTCCCAAACTCCTGATACTGTCTCTCTGCCACGTGTAACCTGATAGGATTATCTGAATATTCACATTGCATTTCACTGACTCCAATTACCAGTACCATCGGACACAATAGGAAAACTGTTTCTGTCAACATTCTCATTATAAGGATTAGCTCAACACTGAGCAACCAGATAGAAGTAAGGACAGACTAGGGAAAATATCTACATTGTCATTTTTATGCATTTAAAGAACTTAATGAGTTATCAGTGTGTTTAAACCACAAAGTTGTACTTTTTTTACCGCTGAAATTAAGTAATTTCAAAAAGGAAAAAAAATGCCTGGAAGTGAAAAGCTTCCTCACAGGAGAATGGAATTCCTTGTGTGGAATGCAAGGTGTAAATTGGACAATAGGTTTCCAGGTCACCTGGGTCATGTATGAAAGGCATGGCACACAATTAGAAATCTCTGTTGAGTAAGAAGGGTTTAGACTGCAGAGGAAGTATCATAACTAAGTCAGGCTGACACTGCTGTAAGTAGCTTTGTATGATAAATAGCAGCACAGTGGTGCATGTTTGTAGGACTTTAAACACTTGGGGGAAAAAGATGCTACTCTGCAATTAAAAAGACAAAGGAGTTGCTTACATTTTAAGTTTAAAATTCCTTTAAAATGCTACCTGATAAAGTTTACTTCACTGGTTTGCAATCCAATTGGATAGAAAAGTACTGCTCTGTTATTTTTTTAATCCACATACATATGCATGAGAGATGTACTGTTTTAGTGATTTAGAAGACATGAATTACCTCACTTCATCACTAAACCACTTATTTGTAGTACTAATTCAAAAGTTGCTTTCTAATCCACCAGTATTAAGAAACAGATTTAACCTCACAAAGTTTTTATTCGTTATATTTTAAAGAATTGTTAATAATGCATATTTTTTGTATGAAGTTATTCAAAAGTGTAATCAAACAGTGTAAGAGCTTACAAAGTCTATGAATTTTTTTTTTCTTTGTATAAGCCTCATGTGTCTGTACTTGGTGGAAGCATGATGGTGAGGGCTCTTTTTTGCAATCCAGCTTTGCAAAGTGACACTGTCTATCTTTTGTCACTTTTTCCAGTTTTCCAGCCACACTCCCATTTAGGCCTTTTTTTATGTAGGAGCCAGGATATTGTTGAAGTCTGAACACTGACTTCTTAGACCAACTTGAAAATCTTTCAAATTAGTGGCTTCACAGTGACATCCCTAACCAGCTTCCTGCTTGCTTTAGGCAGTGTCCAGTCCCAGAAGGACAGTATGACACATACATCTTAATGATGAATGAATGTTGCAAAAGATCCCTGATCTGTTTGTATCCATGAGTTGTGGCTTCAGTACGTTTAGGACCTTCAATAAAGGAAGACAGGTGAATCAACTCTGAAGTGGTTAACCACTTTCATTACACACAGAGGCAACTAATTCTGTGACCTTTTAAAATAACCTTTTTCCCTTGAACTGATCTGGAGCCATTGTAGCAAAGCTGTCATGCACTTACACACATTTTGTTATCATTTTTAGTTTTATCAATGTGGATTACATTCTACATCTGAGGTCCTGGAAAAGTTAAAGATAAATTAGCTGGGGGCTGAACACTTTTACAATGCCCTCTCTTCCTCAGAGCAAAAGGTTCAAATTAAAGTAGTGGTTACAGTAACCCACTAAATATTCATTCACTAGTTAGCTCGTGCATGTTTCTGGGGATTCTTTAAAAGTAACCCATACACACAAGAATACACTTTTTAACATTTATTTGATAAAAGTTAAATGTACAAAACCAAAAAGTAACATTTAATTTCGTAAAAATCACAGTCCTCCAAAAATAGGAAGAATTGTATTAACATATGCTTTGTAGGTACTTTGCTTTATCCTAGCACAGAAAAGTAAAAACAGTCTAAACCTACCATTCCAGTTTAGGTCACAATAACTAAAACTGAATACTTTAGCATTTTAACTAAATAGCCAATTCAAGACTGGGCACTTTTTTCTGTTGACTGAAATATGTTGAATAAGTCACTTTAGAATAATAAACAACCCTGAACTCACTTTGCATGATGTACATGTGCCACAACTATTAGATACAAGATTCTTTAAAAACCTATACATGAGTTTGTTGTTCATAAACTGCCAACTGAAGTATACATGACAAATATTTCCTATCTTTAATATAGTGGGAACTTTTTTCCCTATCTTTAACCAGCCAATGCATCAAATTAACACGAACCTTGACCTGATTCACATAAAAACTGAACTGCACTACTGGAACATGACTTAACGCTGAGGAAAAAAAAACTACTAGGAACATCATTAAATCACTTACAGATGCACTATAAGTGCTCCTTAATGAAGTCCCAGAACTATGAAGAAATATATTCAAGCAATAGTTTTAACAGTGATTCTATATTAGTGTGGATGCTATTTATGGCATTGCTTAGCCTGTGTTCTTCCCCAACATACCGACAGTAAAACCCAGTATTCCGAAAAGCATGTTTTCAATGAGCCATTACTTATGCGTGTCAAATGTTTTAAAAATGTTTACAAGAGCAGATAAGATGAGACATACATCCTGATAAGTAATGAGTATCCTTCTAATACAGAACACTGTTAATGACAATACATTTTGATTAACTACATGCTTTTTCCTGTTACTGTGGCATGAGATGCCTCACATTATATTTGGATGTGTCTTGGTACTGAGTCATTGGTTTATCAGCTATTCCACATGTTCCAACACCAACTTTTCCATTAACACTCTCCGGTGATGCAAATATACTCCTCTTCACCTGTAACACACAAAGACAGGTAGTTAGAATATTACTTGAAAAGCTGGATCTATCAGTCTACACTGAAAATAGATGTTTGACTGAACAAATTAAGTGTTGCTTGGAGGAGTTGTTTTCAATTTGATAATCCTAAAAGCGTCTTTAAAACCGTTGTCTATTAATCCCTGTTATTTTTTTTTGTCTCGCACAACACTATAAAAGGACCTACTGATATTGATTAAGTAGACTGATCCAAACAGGATTCTAACCTGGCCTTTCTTGTTCTTCGAATAGGCTTTGTTATTAAATTGCTGCCACTTTGTTTTTTGGTCTTCTCGTTCCTGTTCCAGTTCCTTCATTCTCTGAGCTTTCTTCAGTGCCTTCTTCTTCTTGTACTCCCTCTGCTGGGCAATTTGCTCCTTCCTGTTAGAGTTCAAAGGCACCAGATAAACAAGAATTAGAGAGAAGCATGCATTTCTCATACAGCTAAGATAGCAGTTCACATTCATCAAAAAGAAAGCAGACGATAGCTTAAAACAATCATGTTCACAACATTCATAATGTTCTTAATGCATAGAATTTCAACAAAATATAAATATTAACAGACTTTAATGTCTCTAAAGCCTCTAATGCTATAATTGCAGTGTCTAACCATTATCTGAAAGCTACTTATTCCTAGATACTTGTGGAAACCCAGAGCCTGTCTTGGAAGCATAAGACAGAAGGTGGGACCACATAGTACTCCACTAGAGGGCAAAAACACAGGGAAGTTTTAGAGACACCTACTAACCTAGACAACCTAAATTAACCTAGTCTTTGGAAGGTGGAAAAATACCAGATATTCAAAGAAATCCCATGTGAACACTGGAAAAACATGCAAGCTCCACACAGGCAGAACAAACCAAGAACTGAACCAAGGTGCCGAATCCTGTGAGGCAGCAGCACTAACCACCACAACACCGCCTCTTCACTTTAACTAATAGACAATTAATCCTGATGATCCTAAGGAAGGTTTCCTGCAGTTTGTACAACGATGACAGTCAGAGAACAAGGACTCACCTGGATTTGGATTTGCCCCCATCCTCCTCCGACTTCTTTCCTTCCTCCACAGCCTTCAGATTCTGCAGGGGCACGACTTCTGCATTGCCATATCCCAAGAACGTAATGGCAGCCGTGCCGTTCTCCTCATCTATCTCCTCGATCTCCGCTTCGTACAACCTGTCAATAAATCACGTCTGTAAGCATGTGAGTAGAGGTTTTATATTCAAGCCCTATAAAGAAAAATCTTACAAGCAAAGGCCTTAACTTCTCATTACTACCCACACTGCTAATCACAAGCCTAACTAAAAAGCTTCAATAGACCAGTAACTGTCTAGCACTTATTCCAAGCAGACAATGTATTTTAAAAGTTATTTTTGTACTTACCAAAATAGAAGGTTTATTTTTAAATTTCAGAAAAATAAATGTATTTAATTAAAATGACTACCTATACTTGTCATGGAGCTTTTACAAAGCAGACTTAAAAAGCTTTGAGGCAAATATTTCAGCTACAGAAAGATCTTGAAAAAGTGATTTTGTGATGCCTCTCATTATACTACAAAGTATTTATTTAATTGTTCAGTAAAAACCAGTGTGCAGGTCTATTTTTCTTTAATAGGTATTCATGACATTGTCTGTGTTGAATATCCATCCCACATTACAGCCAACTTGAAACAGTAATAAATTTCTTACCATTGTACTGTAACAAGTGAAGTTATGCTTAGATTGGTTTCTACACTTACTGTCCATCCTCACTCCACACAGCCATGCAGCTGTCCCCCACCTCCCAGGAGTGGCTGATGGGGACTGCAGCTGAGCTGTCTGAACTGGTGGGGGCCACAGAGGGCTGGCTTGACAGGAGGTCTTTGGTCAACTCTATTACTTCCTGCGGCAGAGAGGACATATCATGAGTAAAATATGTTCTGCCACGACACATAAATGCTGCACAGTTACCCAGTCTCTCAACTTCCTGTGACAAATATTTGTACTAATGTGCACTGCCCCCATCCTGCCCTAATTTTTAAGCCCTTTTAATTTGTCTCCTGAAGATGTGATCTAAAAACTGGACCGAGCAATGGTAGCAAAGTCACACATCAGAAATATCCAGAGAAAAACCCAAAACAGCAGTACAGCTGAACTAGGTTTATTTACACACAAATGCAAATGCATTTACTAAATACAAATGCATTCGAATGCGTGTGCTTGAGTCATTTATGTAGTTAGTTAAATAGGAATTCCGCTATCTAATACTATCAATAATTTTAACATCACATTCATTGCAGAAAGCATCTATAATTAAAAAATAAAATGTCAAGTGTCATACACACAAGAACTCATTAGAGTTCTACTTAAAAAAATGTGATTCAATTGTTTGATAAATCACCACACAATTTTACAGAACAGAATTTGATCTTCTAAATCTGAGAAATGCTATTTTTTAATACATCTTCCTCTCCACCACACAGGCAAGAATCTGCCTGGACAGCAACCTCAATTTCACCTACTGCCACTACAGAGGACACTCCCAATTCACTACAGTCATTATTCCGTTTTTCACTTGCACTTCCACAACCCAAGTTGATTCATCTTAATTAGAACAATAACTTGTCAATTCTTTCTTAAAATTAAAAAGGCATTTAAGTACACATGTACATATATCTCTGTACTTTCAGATTTTGTACTGCTTTAGAGATCAACTAACATTTTTGACTGACTTTTCTTAAAACCGAATCACTCAAAACAATTTAACTACTGCCAAACCTCAGTAAAGGTAGCTTTAGAATACATTATAACATTGTTCGTGGCTTAACCCCTGTCACAGTAATTTATAACAAACTTGGTCAAGATACCAACCTGTAAATCTTTCTGTAATTTAAGCAGGTCTTCATTTTCTGCATCTGTTGATAAAGCTGCTTCCACTTGCTGAAGCTGAGCTTTGTAGCTGGCCAACTGTTTCACCAGGTCGTCTGACATCTTAAAGACACAAAGGGTCAATTCCACAGTCAGAAGGAACGTGTTTTAAAAAGTATCATAAGGTACTTTGCCTACATGCAGGTTGAGAGCATTTCTTTCTGTCTTTCATTTCATCCCAGGTAGGCAATTGAGTTACATGTTCAATCTGACATGCATGTTGGGGAAAACCAAAAACCTTTTGTCAGTGACTTTAAAAAAAAAAGATTATACTTGATTCAGAGATACAAAGCCTATAACACTTTGAGGCATTACGATCTGTATTTTCCAGTTAATCCACACTACGTTTAAATCAGTGTATGGCAAAACAGAAATAAGTTTCATTTATTCAACAATTACATAATTAAAAAACACAAGATGATATGATGTAAAGAGTGACACTTAAGATTAAACTTATTTTTTAAAAGTCAGCTACTTCTATATGAATGGGAATTTAAAAATGTTCTGGAAAACTGGTATTTAAATCTCCAAGGTCTTAACATTTACATATATTTGATCAACTTTTATTAGGTTTTCCTATAGTTCGATAAAATAAAAGTAAAAGGCAAGCAAAAGTATACCTTTATAAAACAGTTCTGGAAGACACCTGAATTTTTTTCCCCAGCTGAACACTTGAATTTCACTTGAATTTCTCTCATTAATTGTACAACTTACTTTTCAAACTGTTTCTATACCTTGTCCTTGGTTTCACAATACAGGTGCAGGTTTTTTGTTTGCAGGGCATTGAGCAAACTGGTTGGTTTCTCCGCAGCTCGCTTATTAAGTGGCTGCTCTCTTAATTTTGTCCCAACAACTCTTATTAGACGTCTAGTTAATAAAGAGAAACAAACAAGTAGAATGACTCCCAGAATAATCTTAGGTCTACAGGGTCCCAATTTCCTAAAATGCAAGATGTCTTAATGGGGGAAGTGGTACTGGGTTAATGTTGGTACTACTCCAATATAATTTAAGACCTCAAAACAATTACAAAAAAGCAAGTAGGTAAATTATTGGATCATTAATGGAGACCACAAACTAGCAAACAAATGTCATTAAAAAACAGGCTGAGTACAGTTTTATTTAGTTTAGTACACGGTGGTGCACTGGTTAGCATTGCTACCTCACAGCACTGAGGCCCTGGGTTCACTTCCTGGGGTGCTATCTGCATTAAGGTTATACGTTCTCCCTGTTTCTTCCCTCGGTCCAAAGACACACTGAGAGGTTAACTGGCCCTGGTGTGAGCGTGTGTATGTCTGTGTCTGTATGTGCCCTGTGATGGACTGGCGTCTGGTCCAGAGTGAATCCTGCCTTGCAGCCCATTACTTGACAGGATAGGCTCCGGCTCCACCAAGACACTGTGTGGAGATGGATGATTGGATGGATGAACTAGTGATTAGCAGTTAATCACAGATATTCAGCTATCAGAGTGATTCCTAATGAAGCAGGCCAAATGAAAACCCCAAACATACATACAACAGTATTTATCCTCTCAAGATGAAAGGCGAATTAGAACTATGGTGAATAATTGTTTGACCACTAGTTCACCAGTCACTTCTTTATTTATTAAACTGGTTTATTAAGAAGATTAAGACTAAACTACCAACAAACACACTTGCTTAAAATTTCCTAAGTAATGTCATTGACTGTATTAGGTGAGCAATTAACGGAAATTTAAACACCTGATCATAACCTTTTAAAATACCTCCACTACGTCTAATTTACTCCTTGGAGCTGGAGGAACGACTACTTCGGCTCAGAAGTTAGACTGGCTAACTAAATGCTCACCAAATTCACAGTTGAACACACAGAAATAGTCTGACGGTCATCGTATGACAAATTTTAGACGCCCAAAGCGGTAAGTTTAATTATGAGGCATGAATACAACTCCTGTTCCCTTCGATTTTAGCGACTTCCACAGTTTTTAAAAAAGGTTAGAAAAAAAGCATCCAATTGCCAAATTAACTAAACGTGACATTTCGGTACTCTCGCCCTTATCTCCACATTCGCAGCCAGCAGAAAGTTTCAAAACGTTATTTCCTTGCAATTTCAGTAATGTTTGTTCCGCGACATCTTGTAACCTTTGCAAGCCGGACAAGGCCTGGATCGTTTATTTACATCACGAGGGACCTGATTTTCATGTTTTACTTGCCATTTTCAAATACAAACCTAAGAGCCATCTCTTAACTGTAAGGATCTTACCTTGAATTACCGAAGAAGTATAATTCTAAGAGAAATCGTGCAAAAGACTGTTTCAGAATTTCGTTTCCAACACAGATCGCCTCACTACCGGAAAGGTACCTACGTAATCTCATCACCTAAAGCCGAAAGTCTCGCGAGACCGTTAGTAGAGCTGCTTAACCCTGTCGACGCTGTTTCCAGGTCGCTGTCGTATCGCAGGTCATGTTGCAATAAAACGATCAAACATGGGCCTGGAGCAAACAATCTTTCTATCCTAAAATTACTTTACGGACCGATTCTGCTACGTTATTTGGCTGGGGGACCTCCTTGGGAATCTTTTCTAAATTTACACCAGTTTAAAAAAGTGCTTTGTTTCAATGTTTCATACGGAAACGTCCACAGAACCGCTCAGAAAATAATGAAGCTCGAAAGTCGTTTTTTTCTAAACCAGATTTTTTTACATTGCAGTTGAAATCTTTTCGCATCTTTAAGTCATCGGCTCCCATTTCCCTAAAAAAATAAGGGAACTATCGAAATCGCTAGGTGGAGCTGTTGCATTGGTAATTATTACATGAAGCTAAAAAGCCTTAAGAAATGTCTCTTTCTGCACTGTTCTGCTTATTGAATACTATTTGTTATACCTCGCATCCTACACGTGTGCTTAGCACCTTAAAAGAAAACTTGATATTATCAAACTGGTAAATAGCTTAGAGAGTGGAAAATAATGCGGCTGTGTTTCCCCCCGTCTTTTACCTAAATATAACTTAAACTTTGAGTCTTTATTTTGGGGAAAAAATATATACTCCCTTTATTTCTGTTTTGCTGCCTCAGAAACCTCTAAAGTTTATGCCCGCTTTCAACCCTCTTAAGTCTGCATCAACAATATGAAAAGGCAAAAGTGAGAGCCGCCCACATATAACCATGATGACCCAACAATATCCAGCGCCTTCGGCATTTCCAGCTGGATCTTATCCATTCTTGCAACCCATCACTACGGATCTGTTTAATCATCACGGTGACCTCAGCTACAGAAATGGCCCCACTCCCACCAGAGGCTTCCAGCACTGTTTCCTGAATGGAGGGCATGTCTACTGAATTCCAGAGATCCTCAAAGCTTTTCTTCCACCTCTCAACAATATCCCCAGTCAAGATCAACATAGAAACTGCAATAGAACTTTAATTTTACATTGCTTTACACCACTATGACGTACTCTTTCCAGTTCACATTTCTATACTTAAGCTGTCATTGTAGAGCTGTGGATATTAATTTTTGCTCTTTGGTGTGATTGTGTTATTATTTAAAACAATGTATGCAAAGCCTGTTTTGTGGCTCTTCTGACTGTTTTTGTTCAGTGACTCATTCTCTTGGATATCGAAGGATTATCAAAAACCTACCAGGCCTAGCTATCAAGCCCAGCAAGAAACCAATTAAATCATCTTGAGTGCAATACAATATTTAACTTTTTTTTTGCTTTCTGAAGGAAAAATGATTAATTAAAAGCTGGAACACTGCAGAGGTGTAGTTAGTGTGATTACCCCCCCCAAACACACACAAAAAAACTTTTCAAAATGCTTCCTTGTACTGTGGGGATTAACAAACAATTTCAATTCCAACACAAAGAAATCAAAGTGGGCAGAACTGCTTAGGTAGGTGTGGTTACAAAAATACTTTGTATCTCCAAATTCTGTTAATTGTGATTCATTGATAGTGTTTTATGCTACTTGTAAAACTCTTCTCATACCATCATTCTATAAGATTTGACTTCGCACAATTTCAGGGAAAAAATATTTATTGTCATACACAATTGGAGATGATACGGTGCAATTCTGAGATTATATCTTAAAAGGTAGTGTCATTAATTTTTACCTGGGGAAATGAATGTCCATATCACAAAAGGGAGCAAATATTATAATACAGTACCCTTGAACAATCTGTAACTTGGAAACCTTTCTGGCTGTTAAAAGCTACCATTATGGCTGAAATGCTAGCTTCCCTGGACTCAATTTGCAGATCTAGGCATTTTCTCATGAGCCAATCTCATTGCTGAATACAGTATACAGTAGCTGTTCAGATTGCTTTTCAGATCTGGCCACAGCCCTTCAAAACTGTTTACACACCTCAGAAGAGTGGAGAATGTGCCAGGCATAACATGTTTGTGACTGGTCTGAGCTTTGTTTTTTGCTTCTGTGTTGTGTGTATTACTTTGTCAAACCTGTCTCAAACCCACACAAGATCCAAACTAAGAATGATAACTATAGAAATATGTAAATAGTTTGCAGTCTTCAAGTCAAAGTATTTTAGAAGGCTTATGCGAGCTAACTTTAATTGGCTCAGACTAAGTACTGTAGAGATGTTAGTGTATACTATCAGTAACTGTTTCTTCCTCTATGTGGGAACTGAGACTGTGTTGGTGGAGGCGTGGCCTACTCCAAAGGACTTTGGCTCATGTCCTGTACTTCCTTCTGCTAAAAGGCTAGATGGATATTCTAATAACAGAGTAGGGATTTCCTAGAACTGCCTGGAAATTACCCAGGCCAGGGACTATCCATTTGTAAGAGTGCAAGTTTGTAGTGTGAGGGGGTGTGAATCCCAGTAGAGTAACACTAGGCTGCCACTTAATACACAGTTAAAGACTGTCTGTGGCATAACTGGAAGAAAGGAGAACATCTCTCCCACTACAAAGAGGTTACTTAACTTATATTTACTTAAAATGAAGTGGTTTAAGTAAATAATAGCCTTCCACTAATCCATTATACTAACATGTTTTCAGACAGGAAATGCAAGAGATCTAAAACCTAAGGATTTGACCTCAGACTGCAAAGCAAGTAGATTAACGAACAATTGTAAATGAAGGTTTTGACCAAATGCAAGATGATTTATTTTGTTTTTACAAAAAATGCTTATAGCAGGATGCAGACTTCATTCTTCCAGCATCTACTGTGAAGAAGAGTGTCTTTTTTTTTAAGTGTTAAGAGCGTCAGTGCTGTAGAGAGGAACAACGCAAGCTGGACACACGGAGTCCTGTTGCGTCATTTAAAAAAAAAGGTGATAAGAAAATAAAAGGCTTTCTGTGACTAATGATGAAGCCACCAGCTCTTCTCCTTTCTGCATCTCAGTATGTAAGAGGCTGTTGGCTGTAACTGAGAATCCTGTGGCTATATAAAACAGAGTTGAGTAGCTTGAATGCATGTTGCTCGGTGTGCTTTCATCTTTGCAATATTGCCTTTCATTCTCTGAAAGGGTGTAGCTTCTTCCATAAGAAATTGTAGTGCAATATTTCTATTTGATCTCTAATACACAGACTCTAATCATCCTCTCATCCTCCAATTTATCACAGAATATTATTAGGTAAAACTAAAGTGCATGTGAAGAAAATGGTAAAGGACATATTAAAGTGGACAAGATTAGTGGATTAAATATGACCCAATTCTTGTTTATAATTGGATGCAGTACACCCTATAATGGTCTGATACAGTTTTAATATCAAGACTAAAACTATTTAACACATTTGGAAAGTATGCGGGGGGTTCACTTAGCAGGGTTCTCAGTGGCTACTTGATGGATTTTCTGTGATTGTGGTCTAGTAGTTTTTGTTAGAAGTGTGGGAGAGGTTCAGCTGTATTAACTGCTCCTGGGCTTTTGCAGTCTGTACATGTACCATAGGTGTACGTCCTGTGCATGTATGTTCTTTCATATCCCACTTAATATGGGATAAAGTCCGACCTCTGCTATTTGTTGCAGATTTAACTTAACAATAGAAGCAGTTTTCCACAGGCTTGCATCCCAGCTGCAAATTCTGGCATGATGTATAGCCAAGGTAGAATTAAATTTTATCTTCAGCATCTTAGCAATCTGGCTTTTACAGCTGGCTGTCCCTAGCTGACATGGCACGCTTTATGATTTGAAAAGAAAAATAATTTTGGTCTTTCTTTTTGAACTGAACAGGGAAGCAATCACGTGTTCCGATTTCATGGAAAGGAGGTCTAAAGATTTTTAATGCATGGTGCATCCAAAGTATTCTGCATTTACAACAAAGGGACTCTGTACAATGGAGTATCCGGTTTGTTTGCTTTTTATAATGCACATACAGGCAAAAAAGGAATCTGACGGGTAGGAGGTGAATTTGATTTTCCTAAGACTCTTCCAGATCCTTATCTTGAATTTAGTTATGAGATGCCTAACTAGAAAATGGTATTCATTGTGAGGTTTGATCATAGTGAAATTATCTCTATAACCCAGAGATGGCTGGATTATGGCACTGGTTAAATATTGATGATTTGATTGAGTGGTAATCGGACAGATCGGTCTTGGTTTTTTTAGAGCGGCCAAGACTCTAAAATGTTTAAGATCTTGTTCCTGGCTGTGATGATACAGATATCCTTTGTGAATCCTTACAGGGCACCGACATGCCATGTCTGAACTCGCACCACGTGCTCATCTGTGTGCGGTTCCACCTCATGCACTGTCACTGGCCACACATCGGCTTGTGATGGATAAGCACCACGGTGATTCATATTTACTGTAAAGCCAAAGACAGGATATGGCTTCTCCTTAGGAAAGGCAAGTTTAGCCTTGAATGCCAGTTCTGATAATAATGAAACATTGTATAAGACGGAAATGGCATTCCATTATAACTTCTTTATTTGTTTCCAGTTGAAAACATTTTTAATTGAAATCAAATTTAATTAAGACTGCAAAACCATGACCTTTATGTACATTTGAGAGACAAAGGTGCTAGCTATACTCTCGACTCTATTTCGACAATATTTTTCCCTCCTTATTTCACCTTTTGGTTCTTGGGTTTGCTTGTTTTTTTTATTTTTCGTGAAATGTTAGTAAAGTTTTCTTTAAAATAGAAAGGATAACCATCTACAATGTGTTATATACATTTATAGTAGTACTGTACTATTGTAGCAGCTGAGGTCTGAGTGTAACATGTTTATTTATCTCTGGACATTTTTTAGTTGTTTCTGCTTTAGTACTAGAGGAAATGCTGATCTGTCCAAGTACAGTGAAGCACAGATATTGCTGTAGCCCTAAAATGCTGACTGGTGGGTTCTATACCATTTCCACTCATTTGACAGCTGGAGAGCCATTGCAATCCCTCCAGCTGGTCTGGAAATGGGTTGAAAGAGAT